CATATTTTCTTGATCCATTCATCTACTGAGGGGCATCTGGGTTGGTTCCATATCTTAGCTATGGTAAATAATGCTATGGTAAATAGTTATATTGGTAGTTTTAGTATGGTCTTGTTTGTGATCATTTGGGTAAATGCCCAAAAGTGGGATTGCTGGATCATAGGGGAGCTCTATGTGGAGTCTTTTGAGAAACCACCTTACTGTTTTCCAAAGTAGTTGTTGAGGATTGTTACTTCCTTTTTTATTTTTCACCTACTGTCCCTTCCCTCCCCCACCTCCTCCACTCCTCCACTCCCCCTGAAGTTGTAAAGTTCATTTCCAACATAGTGTCTTGTGAATATCATTGTTGTAATGGGTCATCCTGTGTTCTTGTTTCAGCATTTTGTTATTCCCCTTCCCCTCCCCAAATTAGATAAATGTATATACAAGATGCAAGGTACCAAAATCAAATACAGTGACAACAGGGAATATACCATAAGGGGAAGAACATACAAAAGAAACAAAAAAATCACATAGTACATTAAAAAACAACAACAAAGAAAGACCTCTTGTATACATATATTGAGGTTCATTTCACTTAGCATCATCTTATATGGTCATATGTACAAGCTTTTGAGCGTTTCTGCTCATCTGATAAGATTATCCTAGACATATACTAAGTCTTTTATCTTTACTCCTTTCTTCTCCCAATGTCTAGATGGTTCTACTGGGCTTACTATGTTCTACTCTGGCCTCAAATGTAAACATGAAAGATGCAAATGACTCCACCCAAGCTTTGATCCTTGAAGTCTGCAGAGAACTGGCTATTTTGGAGCCTGAGTTCATCCTCAAGGTATTGTGCAGTAAAGGAGGGATAGAAAGCAGGAAACTAGGAGGTGGAAAATGTGATTACTGTGTGTGAGAGGTAGAAGAAACTTAGTAAGAGAATAGGATTTTTAGGTGAATATGAATCTAGTCCCTGCAGCTGTAAAGAGTAATAAAAGAAGCCAGGCACCTGTGGCTCCTACCTGTAATCCTAGCTACTCAGGAGGCTGAGATCTGAGGATCAAGGTTCAAAGCCAGTTTGGGCAGAAATCTCTGGGAGACTCTTATCTCTAATAAACTACTAGAAAACCAGAAGTGATGCTGTGGCTCAAGTGGTAGAGCGCTAGCCTTGAGCTGAGGGACAGCACCCAGGCCCAGAGTTCAAGCCCCACGACTGACAAAAAAAAAAAAAAGTAATAAAAGAGGCTGGGTACCAGTGGCCTATACCTGTAATCCTAGCTACTCAGGAGACTGAGATATGAAGATCATGATTTGAGTATAGCCTGGGAAGGAAAGTCTGTGAGACTATTCTCAAAATAATCACCAGAAGCCAGAATTGAAGCTGTGGCTCAAGTGGTTGAACACTAGCTTTGAGCAAAAAAGGTAAGGAACAGTGGGGCTTGAGTATGGGGGCGCGCGCACGCGCGTGTGCGTGTGCGCGCACACACACACACACACACACACACATTTATGAAGGGTTTCCCAAGCTAAAGGGCTTGGACTTTATGTGTTATAGACATTATAGAGTATTCAGGAAAGATTTTGGCAGGCAGACAAGTTAGTTTAGGGTATAGAGCTACAGAGTCCAAGATGCTAACCCTCTCCACCCTGTGCTCTAGGCAGCTTTGTACACTAGGCAACAGCTGAACATACGGACTGTGGCCAATAAAGTCTTGGCCATTGCTGCCTTCTTGCCAGCCTGCCGCCCCCACTTGCGACGATATTTCTGTGCCATTGTGTACCTGCCTTCTGATTGGATCCAGGTAGCAGAGTTCTACCAGGTATGGCACTCATTTCCCTTTCTTTTGCTGTTGGTATCTGTGGAGAACATTTTTTGGATAATTCTGAAAATTTTCAGGGCAGCCACTTCCTGTATAATGTTGGGTTGCCCAACAGAGGAAATACGAGGGAAAGGTTGAACCAAAGTTTGAGAAGTTTATCTTATTTTATTATGGATATTTATAATGATGAAAATAAGACCAGAGAATAGTGGTGACTTGCTCAGAGCCACAGGAACTAAAATTTTTGAGGTGGGCTAGGACCTTGCTCCCTCTTCTGAGTCTCATACTGCTTTTTCTTGTTTTGTTTGGAGAACTTAGTCTCTCATGGTTTCCTCTTTCTGTGACAGGGCCTGGTTGAAGAAGATGAGAACAAGCTGGTGCCCCTGCCTGCCTGCCTCCGTGCTGCAATGACTGACAAATTTGCCCAGTTTGATGAGTACCAACTAGCTAAGTACAACCCACGGAAGCACCGTGCCAAGAAAAGACCCCCCTGCCCGGCCCGCCCTCCAGTCAGTCCCTGCCTCAGCCCTTGTCATTCACAACTCAGCCCTCTTTTTTTCTCTGGGAAGGGATGGTTAAATGAGCTGGGGGTGAGGGTTGGATCCTAAAGTAAGCATTTGACATGTCCTGGGCAGCAACCAAAAATGTCAGAGATAACCAGAGGCACTGGGAGAGCTCAGTAGCAGAAAGGGCAAAGTGGGGCTCTTCCTCAGCTGGCTTCCTTTTTGATAGAAATGAACATTCAGGGCTATTGAAATGGTTTCTCCAGGGAGAGCCTCAAAGTTTCCCTTCTTGAAATAGCTTCTCTTGTCCCTGTAGAAAATTGAGTGTCCGTTTTCTGAGAGGCGTTTTCCAAAGAGCCTTTGGCCACTTAAAAATGAACAGATTAAGGTGAGTCCTTTGTTCTGGAGTTGTATATGTGCATGTAGTCTTTTCTGAGCTGATATTTACAAATAGAATTCTTCCCCCCTCCCTTTTTTGTTGGCAGTGGGGTTTGAACTCAGGCCTGGACACTGTCCCTGAGCTCTTTTTTCTTTTTTCTTTCTTTTTCTTTTCTTTTTTTTTGTCAGTTATGGGGCTTGAACTCTGGGTCTGAGTGCTATCCCTGAGCTCTTCAGCTCAAGGTGAGCACTCTACCGCTTGAGCCACAGCGCCACTTTTGGTTTTCTAGTGGTTTATTGGAGATCAGAGTCTCATGGATTTTTCTACCCGGGCTGGCTTTGAACCATGATCCTCAGATCTCAGCCTCCTGAGTAGCTAGGATTTCAGACGTGAGCCACTGGCACCCAGCTTTGTCCCTGAGCTCTTTTGCTCAAGACTAGTGCTCTACCACTTTGAGTCACTTCTTAGAAACAGAATTTTATTAGGTTTAAAAATACTAATAAGAGGGCTGGGAAAGTGGCTCAGTGGTAGAGCGCTTGCCATGCATGCATGAGGCCCTGGGTTCGATTCCTCAGCACCACATAAGCAAAAAGAAAAAAGCCAGAAGTGGCGTTGTGGCTCAAGTGGTAGAGCCCTAGCCTTGAGTTGAACAGCTGAGGGACAGCGCCCAGGCCCAGAGTTTAGGCTCCATGACTGGACCCCCCCCAAAAAAAAAAAAACAAAACAAAAAACTAATATGGCTAGGTGCCGGTGGCCTAGCTACTCAGGAAACTGAGATCTGAGGGCTGCAGGGAGGAAAGTCCCTATGAGACTCTTATTTCCAATAAACTACTCAAAGAACAGAACTGGAGCTGTGGCTCAAGTGATAGATTACTATCCTTAAGCAAAAGACTTCAGGCCCTGTTTTCAAGCCTCACACTGGGAAAAAAAAAACCCTAATAGGGTTGCGGTATATTAAGTAGGGGAATATTTGTCTAGTATATACAAGGCCCTGGATTTGATCCTCCACAATGCAAAACCAAAACAAAATAGAACAAAAAATGAATAGTGGTAGGTACATGCCAATTTCTTGCCTCAAGATTCTCAGCCAGGATTACTGTGGGATTCAAATATGAGGTTTAATTTTTTTTCTATTTTATTATCCTTAATATCATGTTTACTCTTAGGTTACATGCTCAGTAGTTTGTGGGGCTTAAACTCTGGGCCTGAGTGCTGTCCCTCAGCTCTTCAGCTCAAGGCTAGTGCTCTACCACTTGAGCCACAGCGCCACTTCTGATTTTTCTGGTGGTTTATTAGAGATAAGAGTCTCACTGAGGGCTGAGAAGGTGACTCAGTGGTAGAGCACTTGCCTTGCATGCATGAGGCCCTGGGTTCGATTCCTCAGCACCACGTAAGCAGAAAAAAAAAGTTGGAAGTGGTGTTATGGTTCAAGTGATAACGTGCTAGCCTTGAACTGACGTGCTAGCCTTGAGCTGAAGAGCTGAGGGACAGTGCCCAGGCCCAGAGTTTAGGCCCCACGACCGGACCCAAAAAAAAAAAAAAAAAAAAGAGTCTCACTGACTTTCCTGCCAGGCTGGCTTTGAACCGCGATCCTCAGATCTCAGCTTCCTTACTAGCTAGGATTACAAGCATGAGCCCCTGTGCCTGGTTTGGGATATCTATCTTTCAGAGGAAGTGAGGAAGTTTTGCTTTTCTTTTTTTTTTTTTTTTTGGGTCCGGTCGTGGGGCCTGAACTCTGGGCCTGGGCGCTGTCTCTCAGCTCCTCAGCTCAAGGCTAGAGCTCTACCATTTGAGCCACAGCGCCACTTCCGGCTTTTTCTTTTTTCTTATGTGGTGCTGAGGAATCGAACCCAGGGCCTCGAGCATGCAAGACAAGCGCTCTACCACTGAGCCACATTCCCAGCCCCTGCTTTTCTTTTTTTGAGATTGTCTTCCCTTGTAGTCCAATCTGGCCTCTAATTCTCAATCCTCAGGTCTCTGCCTCCTGAGTGCTGGGATTATAGATATACACAAATATGTCTGGGTCTTTTGTTTTTGTTTTGAAATGAAGTCTTATTGTTGCCCAGGTTGGTTTCATACTATGGAGTTTTAGTGATCATCTTGTCTCAGCCTCCCAATTAGCTTTGCCGGTACACATGCAACTGCACTCTTTTTATGTTTGTCTTTTTTTTAAAATATGTTTTTTATTGTGAAGATACTGTACAGAGGGGTTACAGTTACATGAGCAAGGTAATGAGTACATTTCTTAGCAAGCATTGTTGCCTCCCCTTTTGTTTTTCCCCTACCAACCCTTCCCTCCCAGGTTTGTCTTTTTTTTTAAACCCAGGATCAAATGCTCATTGCCTGTAATCCTAGCTACTGAGGAGGTTGAGATCTAAGGATCATGGTTTGAAGCCAGCCCAGGCAGGAAAGTTTGTGAGACTCTTACTTTCAATTAACCACCAAAAACCCAAAAGTGGAGATTCAGCCCAAGTGTTAGAGTGTTACCCTTAAGAAAAAAAAAAAAAAGCATAGCCACAGTGCCTAGGCCCCGAGTTCAAGCCCTAGGACTGGCAAAAAAATAAAAAAATAAATTGTACGACAAAGAGGTTTAAATTCAACATCTCATTTTAGGAATATAGTACATGAGCTGATGTCTTATATTTGTTTTTTTTATTTTTTTATTGTGAAAATACTGTACTGAGGGGTTACAATTACATGGGCAAGATAATGAGTACATTTCTTATCA